TTCCACTTCTGCCTCTGCGACCCCTGGATCGTCCTCTCCCTTTCCTCTGTCTCTGGGCTCTGACAGACAAACTGACACAATTCTACAACCCAGGCACTACCTCACTCAAGTCCAGACCCTCCTGTCTCTCTCCACAGTCTGTGTTAACCCCAACCTGCTCTGCCCTCCTCTGACAACACCCAAACCTTCCATGGGCAGAAGTACTTGAGACAACTTATGGCCTACAGGATTCAGCAGGAATTTCTGTCTGCTGTTAAGGCCTCTTCTCTGTGGCCAGGCTGACTGCCTAGCATCAATTTCTACTAGTTCTCTGCTGTGCCCTGTGTGCCGATCCAACAGCACTGGTCACTATACTCGTGAGCTGGCCCTGGTCCCGCACCTTGGCCTACCCACCAGTGGATTTGATAAGGTTCTGCCCTCTCCATTAGCTCCCATTGCAGGGGAGAGAGGTCCAGGTACCTGTGGGGTGGGACCCTGCGAAGCCTAGAGGCTTTGGCTTCCTGGCTGCTCTGAGTTGCCTCTGATAGTGTCCCTGTTTGTCCACTTGCTCCAGCCACACTGGCTGCCCTGAGATGCTCCAGGCTCATCTCCAGAGCAGAGCCTTTGCACTGGCTCTTCCTAATGCCTGGAAAGTTCTCCACCCCTGTCCACATGCCTCGCTTCCCACCTTGCTAGGTCATCCCTGAAATGTCACCTCCGTGAGGCCGTGCTTGACCACATGGTTTAAAGTGGCACCCTGCTCCTGCACATCCCCCTCCTCTGGAGCCCTTGCCACCGCCTGACCTTGACTCTGACCCACACCCACTCTGCATGTTACTAGAGAGTGAGCTTCAGGAAGGCATGTGTTGGGGCTGTCTCGGTGGCTGCTGTATCTCCTGAACCCGACAGAAACCAGGCACTTAGAAACTGTTCCACTTCCGGCCCATCTCCAAAGCAGCCTATTCCCAAGTCCATCTTAGGCTAGCAAAAGCCACTGAACCTTTTTTCTTTGCACTCTAAACATGTGTTGAGGGTTCTTACTGCATGGTGACCCAGAAAGCAAACCAAGATTTCTTTTTTATTGAGCATACTGAACTTCTCATGTGCCCTTAAAGTATTTTACATGCATTATCTGATTTGCTGCTCTCAAAAATACAAAGAAGTTAGATGTGCTAATTAACCCTCATGTGGGTGTGGACTCCAACCTGCCTGTGCTTCCACTTATGCCTCTGTGACCTCTGGATTGGGGGTCTACAAGGCCTTCTAGAGGTAAACATAAGTAGTTTTTATCCCTATTTGATAGATGAGCAAACTGAGGCTCAGAGAGATAAAGTGACTCACCCAGGTCACACAGCCTGTACCTTCCTGTGCCCTTTCTGCTACACCCCACCACCTGCACTATTTACAACCTCTCTCCCTAGTGGGTGGAGATCTCCATTTCTTAGCAAGCATCCAGCTCTTTGCAACCAACCTGGGCCATGTTTGAAGTATGAGCCATAAGCACAAAGGCCCTGCTTGTCGGCCGAGAAAGCATCACATTTGACATCCAAGGAGAGAGTGCAATCCTACTGAAGAGTGGATTTTCACAGGCGGATCTCTCATCCAGCACTTCCAGAGCATGTGACCTGGGGCATATTGCTTTACCCTTTGAGCCTCTGTATCCATATCTATAAAATGGGGTCAATACCTACCTCCAAGGTAGTTGTGAAACAGCACAGTTGATTTGTTCCAACCTACAAATAATCTTTCTGTAAATAATTTATAAATTCTTGACTCAGGGAAATCCAACTCACCAACTGACCCTTTATCATCCCCCAGGATTCGTTTTGCTTTACCAGGCAATCACCCTGCGCTACAGACCCAAGGAGATTTAGCAAAGAAAAGTGCCACACCTTTTGCCTAGAAGGTGTCCTACAGCACAGTTGATTCCCCACGCTGGAAGTGGCTGCTGGGTTTCAGGATCCAATCAGATGATTCCACAAGCACCCCCAAAGAGGGTTGAGTGGGGTGGTGATGGGGTTAGAATGAAACTCCAAAGGAGGGGTCTCCAGGACCAAATCCAAGCCAGAGTGGGAAGGCAGCTGCAGGAAAAGCTTGGCCTGGCCTAGCGGGGGCAGGCAACGGGGCCCCCTCCAACAGGGAGAAGGTAGAGGGCTCAGGGATGAAAGCAGGAGGGAGGTGTATGCCTTGCCAGCCCGTGCCGGGTTCCCCGGACGTTTCCATGCCGCAGCCTCCCAGCCACTGTGGAGCAAACAAAGCCAGAGGTGCTGCTGCAGACATCGCTCGGCGGCTGGGAAACAGGGGCCGTCTGTACCTTTCAATGCTCTCATCTCATTAATCTTGTACCTCTGCAGTCCTTCTGAAGAGCGCACTCACAGGAGCTCATTCATTACAGCTCTAATAACAGTGGCAGGCATTAAAGCACCAGGCTGCGGAGGAACTGGCCTCTGCAGCTGCAGAAAGCCAATACCTTTTTAAATACATTTACACAGCAATAAATAAAAGCGGTCTCAGTTTACCTCTTTATTAAACTCTATTTGCTCGTCAGAGTTAAGGGCGGCATTTGTGTCTTGCTATTCAAATTTATTCGTACACGTCTCCTAGGCTGGCCACATTTATTCCATCATGCAGTAATGGTGACTACAGCTTAAGGGGGCCTTTTATCACCAAGCAGCCCTCATTAAGGGCTCTGCTCCAGGCTCCTGGGCTCAATTTGGCCACCATGAAGACCACCCCCATTATCCAGAGGGAAAAACGAAGGCAGAGAATAAGCATGCCTTCATTAGTCTTCCTCAGCAACCAGCCGGCTGATGACTGGAGGCTGATGAGTGATCAGCGTCCCCCAAACTCTAGTGCAGAGAGATGGCCCCCTAAAGGAGTTGCTGCACCTGACACACCCCCTCCTGCCCCCAGCTCCACAGTGTTGAAGAGTCACAGGCGTGTTTGCATAGTAAATACCCTGAGAAAGCAGGGAATCTGCTCAAATTGGTTTTGACCTTGGATCTCCTCTCTCTCTTTCTCTTTCTCAACACCTGGTCTGTTTCAAGGAGTCAACATTTGTGTTTTAATTTGTGCAAAGTGTGGGATTTGCCAGTCTGGAAGTTTTCCTCCATTTGCTGTATCTTGACTATTCCCATCATGGGAAATTTCTTGCTTCCACAGGCCGTTCAGAGTTTGAGATTCCACCTGCCTTCCTTTATTAAGGGCTTGTCTTCTTTGAGAATCCTAGACTTTCTAAGAAGACCCCAGTGGATAGGCAGGCACAATTGAATTGCTGGAATATACACCAGTCCCGAAGCTCAGGGGCTGTCTGCACTCTTCTGATTTTTGTGCCCAAAGGCCTCAGGATGTAAGCCACTGTCCTTAGACTCAGGCTAAAGCAAGTGGGTAGTAGAGTGCTGGTTGGTCATGACCAGAAAACCCAGGTGGGATGGGAATCCCTGGACAGGTATTGGTCATAAGGTTTTGTAGCAGCAGAGTAGTAAGAGGGTCACCTGAGGGTGCCGGATATGTGGATCTGGCCACCTGCGGAGACCAGTGGTATCTTAACCCCCAGCGAGAGCCAGCAATGAATAAACGGCTCCCCAATTCACCAGGGGAGTTATTACTCACCACTGTTCACTGCAATGGCTCACCTGTACTAAGAATGCAGACATCCCAGGAATGCATTACCTCCCATGGGACAGCAAACTAGTGAGGCAACAGGACTTCTTCCGCATTTCATGGATGGACAAAGTAGGCACAGAGAGGTTGTATGGCTTGCCCAAGTTCACACAGCTAGTCAGGATTCCAATTCAGGGAATCCAATCCGATTCCAACTCTCTTCACTGCTGGGTAGAAGCAGTGTCGGGAATGAGCTTGGCACAAACGGCCTCCAGGAGCCTCTGAAGGATTTCTGTGTTAGAGAGTGAGGAGTGCTCTCTGGGGTCAGAGTGTTGAAGGGTCCTTAAAGTCCAGCAGCCAGTTCATACCTCCAAATGATACTGAATGGTAGAGTCCTCTTTGCCCAGGATTTTCTACTTCCTGCCCCTTCCCATCCATTCCTCCTGCATCGCATTCCCAAGGGCGACTCGTCCTGGGCATGGTGGAATGAACAAGGATCCAGACACCAGCAGGAGAGGATTCTGGTCTACTATTTGTGCATCTCTGGCTGTACCACTCTGAGCCTGTTGGAGTCAGAGTTTGAATTCATTTTTCCTACATTATCCCAAGCCTGGTGCTGTGCTCTCTTTTAAAAGAAAGCACAGGGAATAGTCGCAGGCTGGCCTTGAGTCCTGGCTTGCTGACTTACAAGCTGTGTTGCTTCAGGCCACTTCTCCTCTCTGGGTCTCAGTTCCCACATGTGGAAAAAGGCTGAGGGAATGCACAATTCACATACCACTCAGCATCTATGTAAAGCCTAGACACACAGGAGACACCCAGCAAATAACAGGTGCACAAGAAATGTAACGATTTCGTTCCCTTTCTTCATCTTAGTTTCTGGGCAGCTGGGGCAGGGGAGGGAGTCAGTTCTTTTAAGTTCAGGGAGGGAGGAGGGCAGCCTATCCATTTACTGACAGCATCAGAACCCAGATGTAACCAGGCCACGCCAGCTAAGTGGCTGAGAGTACTGACTGCTAACTGCACGATGAGAGAAGCCAGGCTCTCTGCTCACACTTCTCACCTCAGTCCTGGAGCTGCGGGCTGGGAGACACTATTCAATAGCTGCTCAAATTCACTCTTCGTCCCCTTTTCCCTTGTGTGCTAGAAATCAAAGTCCTGACTTTCCCAGTTGCCCTTGTAGCCATAAGTGGCCATAGGATCAAGTGTTGGTCAATGAAATATAAATAAAATTCTGTTTAAAAAGTCTGCAGGGTGGGGGTGGGATTCTGAAAAAGATTTTGTGGAGGTAAAGAATTCACTCACCATCTTGATTGTGGTGATGGCGTCACGTGTGCATGTGTATATCAAAACTGATCAAACTGTATGTTTTAAACATGTGCAGTTTGTTGTGTGTCAATTATATCTCAATTACGCTGTTTAGGAAAAATCCTGCCCAGTTTCTGGGGAAGAATGGTTTTTCTAATCAAAGGAACCTTCGTGGAATGCCTGAAGTCCGGTGGCTCCCTGATAACCGGGAGTAACAGGTATGTTGGCAAGTTCAAGAGAGTTCCTGAGATGTTGACTCTAACCCAGCCCCAAGTTACTTTCTTGCTATAGGACGAAAATAAACACCTATTTGTTTAAAACCCGGCAAGTGAGGTTTTTGGATTCCTTACACTCCAAAGCTTTACTACATTTACTTGGGTGCTCAATCAATATCTGTTGAATAAATGCATTAAGGATTTGATAAACCAATGAACTGAGAGGAAGGAGCAGTCTCTCTGGGCTGGAGTGACCAGGAAGTCTTCTCATTTGGGTTTGGGACTAAAGTTGGCCCTAGCAAGATGGGTGGGTGGACTTTGGCTAGCAAGAGAAGGTGCAAGGAGGGGTTCAAGGCAGGGAGAGTGGCAGGAGCCAGGCACCCCTGCCCAGGTAGACCTGCCCTCTGAGGCACTTGCAGGCCTCCTACCTCCTACCTCCCTCCATCTTGGCTAATAAACCAGCCCATAGTTTACTTTCCTTTGCACATTCTTTTTTGTCAGTGGCAGAAAATTACAGCTGACAAGTGGCAATTGATCTCTTCACATTATTTTGAAGCAATTATATTGAAACGGAAAACAATGCTTCCAGGAAAGAGCCCGATAACAGAGTCAAACACAAAGCTCCCTCTAAGATAGATAGGGGAGGCCAATTCGCACTGCATAGAAACTGACCAAATTTCCTTCCCCGGAAACTAGAGTTAATTACTGCCTGGAAATCTTCAAAGATAACTTCTACTTCTGTCCAGGGGATGGAGAACAGCCTGAGTCTGCAGGTGCCCTCAAGTGGGGTGAGCTCCCTCAACAGGGAGCCCTTAAACTCTCACATACCAAGAGGGGCTCTGCGGACTGGAGTCTGGGCACACAAAGCCGACTTGCTCAGAAGGCATTATGCTATAATTCCCCAAACTTGGAACAGCTTAGGACCCTTAAAAGAAACAGATTCTTGCAGACCCTAATATTGACTTAATGATTGTATTTGAATGCTATTTACATTTTTACAAACCAAAGATAGGAATAAACTTTCTTTGCTTATAGTTTATATATGGTGGGAAACAAAAGCATCATTCCAGATATAAAAATAAAAAATATTCCAGATATAACATAAAATCAGCAAAGGCAAATTAACATCAATTTAATTCAAAATATGTAATGCTGCTTTGCTGCACCAAATTTACACCTGTGACCTGGGCATGATGCCATCAGCCACAGAGCCAATCTCTGTGTGTTTTTCGTGGCCTATCATTGTGGCAGTGTGACCAGGGCAATTTCTTGTCACCTCTCTCTTCTGTCTCCTGGAACTTCTGTTCACATGGCATGCCTGGGGAGGGAGGCTTCAAAGACCCTGTCTTGACTCTTTCCTCATGAGTCTGCAGCAGCTCATCTGGTGCCAGCATGACTGTAACACAAACAGGACATGGATGCGTAAGCGGACACTTTGGGGCACGGTGTCCTCTAGATGAGTGGCTCTCAGACTTGGCAGTACAGTGGAATCACTTGGAGAGACTTTACAAATGCCCATGCTCAGCCATACTCCAGACCAATTAAGCTGGAATCTTTTAAAACACTCCCTGGGTAATTCTGATGGACAGCCAAGTTGAGAATGAATGAGCTAGGTCCATTTCTCAAGGCACACTAGACCCATTTCCAAGTGTGCCTCAGAATCGATGGAGAATGTGTTAAAACTCAGAGGGCTGGACCCCAGCCCCAGAATTTCTGATTGTGTAGTCGTAGGGGTTGAGGAGCCTGCAACTGGTGTTTCTTACAGGCTCCCAGGTGATGCTGATGCTTCTGGTCAGGTGACCACATTTTGAGAACCATCAACTTAAATGATTAGAATAAGCGTATATTCACTTGCTACTGATTATCACAGAAATGAAAGCATTTGCGTCATGAACTCAAGGATTCCAGAGAATGCATCTGAGAACCCCAGCATAAGACATGTCCACGCAGTGGCCCTGGCAGGACTCAAATCCCTCCTCTACTCACATGCAGCTATATGGTCTCTGGTAAACCATTCACCTCTCTTTGAGCCTCAGTCTTTGATATAGTGAGATGGGTATAATGTCCATCTCACAGATAAGCTTGGAAAATGCAGTAAGGTGCAATTCAAAAGCAGACATTGGTAGGTTGGGAAAAGACTTGATTTTGGTTCCAGCTCCACTACTTGCTGACTGTGGCCTTGGCCACTGTGCTCATTAGCATGGTAAAGATGAAAAAAATGGCTAATAATGGCTGGCAGGCTTGTTATGAGGTTTAGATATATATATGAAAGCAACTTTTTAAACTGCAAAGCACTAAATGGCTGATTTTATAAATTAAGACATATCTCAGAGGTAGAGACACGTGTGAACCTGGCTAGAAAGGAACTGGTTACACTTATCCGTCTCTTCTCTCCACCTTCAGGGTGGGTTTCCCTAAAGGGGGTTCTAACAAGCAGTTTGCCGAGAAGCCCTGTGTTTGCAAAGCTGGAAAATTATCTGAATCCCAAAGAGGGGTGTTAGCAGGTGGCCCAATGAAGGGAGTCTGTTTATCTTCCTAGCATTTACCCTCAAAGAAAGCTGTTGGAATGAGCTCCTCTTCACTATCTAGCTTTCAGAGGAAACACAACCTCTAGTTGGCTCACATGATGTCAGAGGAAAACAAGATTTTTTAAAAATGAAGAAATGTAGAAGGTAGGCAAAGAGAGAGTTACTGGAAGGAGACTTTTCTCAAAGAACAGAGCTTCCAGCTACTCCCTTCTCTGCTCACTTGCAGTCCCTGTCCATCTCTGTCCCAGCCCTCATCCAGGTTCATAACAACGATAACAGCTTTGCTGTCCCAACACCACAAACTCTTTGAAGGCAGCTCTACACCTCACCCACTCGCAGCCCAGCTCCTTGCCTTGTGGTTGATTTGTAACTGATGCTCTGTACAAGTTGAGTGAATGCTTGAATGGATGAAACTAATACAAAATTTTAAAGACATCCCTACATAGTGCAGTTAACTCACAGCTGACAATTTTGCTGATGCACCAGCATTAGAAAGATAGCAAAGGGGAGGGCATTTCATGAGGAAACCAAGAAGGGGCTTGGAAAACCAAGTAACTGAGTAACATGACAACTTTGGAATTTTGGTCTAGGAAAATTTATTTTTCCTCAGCTTTTATTTTAAGTTCCAGGGGTACAGTACAGGATGTGCAGGTTTGTTACATGGTAAATGTTTGCCGTGGCGGTTTGCTACACAGATCAACCCATTGCCTAGATATTAAGCTCAGCATCCATTTGCTATTTTTCCTGATGTTCTCCTTCCCACCATGCTCCCTGCCAGGCCCCAGTGTGAGTTTGCCCTCTCCCGTATGTTCATGTGCTCTCATCGTTCAGCTCCCACTTATAAATGAGAACACACAATATTTGGTTTTCTGTTCTTGTATTAATTTGCTGAGGATCATGGCTTCTAGCTTCATCCCTGTCCCTGCAAAGGACATGACCTTGTTCTTTTTATGGCTGTATAGTATTCCATGTGCTTGTACAGTTTCTTTTTATTTTTTTCATATGTATGTATTTTGTGTACTTGAAGTTCTGGGATACATGTGCAGAACATGCAGGTTTGTTATATAGGTATACATGTGCCATGGTGGTTTGTTGCACCCATCAACCAATCATCTACATTAGGTACTTCTCTTAATGCTATCCCTTCCCTACTCCCCCACCTTCTGATAGGCCCTGGTGTGTGATGTTCCCCTCCTTATGTCCCTATATTCTCATTGCTCAACTCCCACTTATGAGTGAGAACATGTGGTGTTTGGTTTTCTGTTTCTTTGTTAGTTTGCTGAGAATGATGGTTTCCAGCTTCATCCATGTCCCTGCAAAGAATATGAACTCACCCTTTTTATGGCTGTATAGTATTCCATGGTGTGTATATATGCCACATTTTCTTTATCCAGTCTGTCCTTGATGGGCATTTGGTTTGGTTCCAAGTCTTTGCTATTGTGAACAGTGCTGCAATAAATATACATGTGCACATATCTTTACAGTAGAATGAGTTATAATCCTTTGAGTATATACCCAGTAATGGGATTGCTGGATCAAATGGTATTTCTGGTTCTAGATCCTTGAGGAATCACCACACTGTCTTCCACAATGGTTGAACTAATTTACACTCCCACTAACAGTGTAAAAGTGTTCCTATTTCTCCACATCCTCTCCAGGATCTGTTGTCTCCAGATTTTTTAATGATCGCCATTCTAACTGGCGTGAGATGGTATCTCATGGGTTTGATTTGCATTTCTCTAATGACCAGTGATAATGAGCTTTTTTTCATATGTTCATTGGCTGCATAAATGTCTTCTTTTGAGAAGTGTCTGTTCATAGCCTTTGCCCACTTTTTGATGGGGTTGGTTTTTTTCCTAGTAAATTTGTTTAAGTTTTTGTAGATTACAGATATTACCCCTTTGTCAGATGGATAAATCACAAAATTTTTCTCCCATTCTGTAGGTTGCCTGGTCACTCTGACAATAGTTTCTTTGGCTGTGCAGAAGCTCTTTAGTTTTATTAGATCCCATTTGTCAATTTTGGCTTTTGTCACCATTGCTTTTGGTGTTTTAGTCATGAAGTCTTTGCTCATGCCTATGTACTGAATGGTATTGCCTAGGTTTTCTTCTAGGATTTTTATGGTTTTAGGCCTTGCTTGTAAGTCTTTAATCCATCTTGAGTTAATTTTTGCATAAGGTGTAAGGAAGGGGGTCCAGTTTCAGTTTTCTGCATGTGGCTAGCCAGTTTTCCCAACACCGTTTATTAAATAGGGAATCCTTTCCCAGTTGCTTGCTTTTGTCAAGTTTGTCAAAGATCAGATGGTTGTAGATGTATGGTGTTATTTCTGAGGCCTCTGTTGTGTACCATTGGTCTATATCTCTGTTTTGGTACCAGTACCATGCTGTTTTGGCAACTGTAGTCTTGTAATATAGTTTCAAGTTAGGTAGTGTGATGCCTCCAGGTTTGTTCTCTTTGCTTAGTATTGTCTTGGCC